CATTAAAAGTTTCTCTATTGTTTTGTTATATCAACATGTAACACATCAACATGTGTTCGTTGCGACTGTGTGAATGGTCTTTCTCACAAAGCTAGGTTTGTTCATGTAGTCTACTTTCCTTGTTTCGATACTTCTATCTACATCCATAGGTTAGGAAGATGGCTGTCTGTTTTGAAAATTATGAAAGTTTGTTGAACGTTGTTGGTAATTGTAATTCATTGTATTTTGTGGTTAGTTATTACGGGCATATGGTCTTGATTGGAATCTATTGAAATTAGGTGATTGACTAATATTTTGAGGCTGTGAAGACTAAACTGATATTTGAAAGCTAGGTGTGGGTAAAATGTGTTTTGTGGTTGCTGCCTTTTTGGAACGATTGGTCTTACGGTCTTTGTCTAAAACTATTATTTGCGTGAACTATTTTATGTTGATTTCTTAAATTTTTATTTTACATTTTCGTGCACACATGCAGAACCTGTGGCAAATCTGCAAGGCATTGCAAGAAGCCGCGGCTAGTCTCCTCTCAGACCGCCTGCAAAGATATTCAATGCCTTATCACGATGACTCCTTGTGTTTCAGCCCTAATACACCGAGTGTTTCAGCTACTTCTAAACTTCTAAACATGACAATTTGCCTAAAATTAGTGATAAATGGGAATATACTGCATGATAAAAGTCTTTGACTGTCCTGCTACCCTGAACCAAGAATGTTAACTGATATTCCTACAAACAGGTTTAGATATCGTCAAATCGCTTTTCAGTTCATAGGCGTGTTATAATATTCAGGAGCCATGTCGGCATTTCCCTTAATTTTATTTCGGATTACGCCAAGGATCCCATAATATGCCATTTTCTGGTTTGTATTTATGCAGAACCCGTTCAACGCTTTTTTTTCGGAGCTAAACTCTCCGGAATTTGCTGAAAATTCGCGTATATATCGTACTACGTCTGGTACTTTATATAAACCTGCTAGGTTTCTGTCCGTAGAGTCTACAGTTTGGTCAGAATCTGTGTTGGGAGAAAATTTTTCCTTTTATCGTAGCAAATATAGCCAGATTTTAATATTAATTCCAAATATTTTTATTTATAAAATTTATTGAGTTGTTGATGTATGATTTGCTTTGGGAATTTAATTATAATTAATTAGTTTAATTTTAATTTACTTTGTTCTAGAAATTCTCTAGTAATTAATATTTTCGAGATACGTGTTGTTTTTTTTCTTTTTTCTTTTTTTTTTTGAATATTTTTATTAAAATAGATTTTTGAGTTAAAATCGATAATTATTATAAATCTCTATTTATTTAAATTGTGTTTTTCTTTTTTTTATATAAACTTTATGTGTTGAATCAATTAGATAAATTTATGAATTGATCTTTTCAAGTTTAAATTGTAATATATTTTGCACAAATATAGTAAAAAATTTTTTAATTTATTTAATAAGTAAATTATTTTTTCAAATTTCAAAATTTATTTCTCAAATTTTCAATTTTTGTTTGATTATTGGTTTGTAGTATTTTTTTTTTCTAATAAAAATCTATAATAAAAGTAAAATTTCTTACAAAGCTTATTACAAACGTAATAAGCAACGCCATTTTTTCAATGATGAGCGGCTGCTGACTGCTGTCAATTCCTTTTTGCTGATGCTACTTGATGCTTTTGCTGATGGATCTTATTTCTCACGTTGCTGTTGATTTGGGTTCAGGAGCAGGTTGGTCAAATGATGCCAATGAAGGATCCTTTTCCAGTCTTTAATATGTATAATTTAACGTGAAGCTTTTTTTTCCTTTTTATGGCTTTTTGTTTTCCACAAAATTTTATTATAATTTGTTATTATTGTATTTATTTAGTGCTTTGGGATTATAACAAATATTCACATAAATTCAAGTTTTATTAAAGTCATAACTATTACAGTATTATTTAAGTTTCTTATTTAGTATTTTATGTTATATTTTCTTGTTGCTTTTAGTATTTTATATTATATTTTCTGAACTTAATTAATTTAATTTCATTATTAGTTTCACTTTGAAATTTTGATTAGCACTGTCACCCGTTGAAAACGTTGGACGCCAGTTAATTTTATATTATATTTTCAATATAAAAAAAAACAAATTTTTTTTTAATAAAAGAGTTTTATTTCTTAAAATCAACATTTGCACAATTTGAGCATTAATTACTTATTACGTCCATTACATTTTAAGCTTAATTTATTTATAATTTTTTAATTATGTTGATGTTTCCACGTGATAACTTTTGTACGGGAACGTTATTGTTGGCATGTGTTAAGATTGCAGACATTGCGTCTGAAATCTTAACACATGGGAATATTTTTATGAGTTATTTCGCGGGAAAGATATTTTGTTATTGAATTTTTCAGTAAATCAAATTTGAAACTAATAAAATGTATTTTGAGTTAACTTAAATCTAGGGTTTTCTGTCAGAACATTATATCCATATTTTTGCCATTTCGAGTAAAACTTCTTTGTATTATTGAAATTTTTTTGTATTATTTTTCTTTTACTAAAACATTTACTAGTGAAAATTTAGTGAAGATGGTTTAATAAGTTAATATTGTAGAATGTTGCTACTAAATGTTGTATCTATCAAATAAATCAAATAAGATATGAACTTTTTCCAATTGCAATCAGTACCAATCAATACTGAAGAAGTTCACTTATCTAGTTTTAAGTAATGAACATTTAAATATAAAATGTAGAAATAAATACGTGCAAATGTTTCTTTTTCAACTTCAAACGAAACGGTATAAAAACTAGAATACATTTTCATTTCAAAAGTGTATAACATGACATACGTATCTATATTTCAATGTCTTCTTAGAAAATTTTATCATTTCAAGAAGTAAATAACTGTTGATATCTAATTTTGCTAGAGAAATTATTGGAACAATTGATTAGTTAAAATGATCTTCAAGGATTTTTTTTTCAAAACTAGTGAATTATTTTTATTTTGTAAAAATATTTTATTGTGTAACTGCGTCCAAAGTTTAAAATTATTTATTGTCTATAAAAAATAAATTATATATAAAATTATATAATGATTTATTTTAAATAGATTTCATTGGAAAATTAATTTATGCAATTAAAGCAAGGCCTTCAATTTATGACAAAACTTTTAAATATTACGCAAATAAACAAGTGGTGCCTCATTTGTGGGTGGAAGCTAACGAAATAGCTATTGACTTATGGAATGAATTGACGCTGAAGAAAGTGATAAAGTTAAAGATAAAATTTAATTTTATTATCTTGACTTCTTATTGGCAAATATTACAACAAAAAAGAAATCGTACATTCAAATTTAGTTAACGATTCATATTTTGTGATGCTGCCAGGGAATAGAACATTGTGGTGTCCTAAAATAATTTGTAAAATAAAATAATATAATGTTGTATTTCCGCTGTATTTTCAAAGTTCACGTAAAGGGTGGCCAAAATTCACGCAAGATTTGAATTGCGCCATTTGTGCGATAAAGTGGTGACCAAACCAAAAAAAAAAGTTCGGGGTTATTAAAAATGGAGCATTACACAAAAGAAAAACGCATTTTTATTGTTGAGCAATATTTTGTTTTGGCACAAAAAACTGGATTATTATGTCGTGATAGTGGATGTATTTGTTTCTGGACAATCACTTGTGGACTTTCTTCATCCCAAAGACTATAATTTTGTCAAGATGAAAATGAGCCTCATTGCTGAAGAACAAGTTGTAGTTGCTGATAAACTTTCATTATTTACAAAATATTGCTCAACAATAAAACTGCGTTGTTCTTTTGTGTAGCGCTTCATTTTCTAATTCCTTAGAAATCAGATATCGGCAACTAGACGTTTACTATGGGCCAAATATACATTTTTGTGTATATAAAGAGAAATAATCAACCGATTTCATTGACATTTAATATTTGAATTCCTCGTATTAAAACAATGAACATATAAATTTTTTAGAAATATCAGGGCTCGAAAACTGATCTGCGGGCCTATTTTACATTTTTCACCATATCTACGGAACGAATTGATGGAATTTCTTGAAATTTGCTATTTGAGTTCTGGTTGTTACCGAAATTAACTGGCGAGCATTTCAGGGAATTCGGGTTGCACAAAGCGAAACTCTACTAAGAGCCAAATTTAGAATTTTCTAGGTATGTTAACTATAAGCTTACTAATGTCCTAAAAATTGGAAAAAAGTATTTAACAGACATTTTTATAATATTCTGTAACACTTTCACTCAACTAGACAATACACAATGCGGTCGGTTATGTGCTGACCACATCAGATTTTTTTTAAATTTCTTTATGCATTTTCATGTAAAATTTTTAGAAGTTTTAAAAATATTTTACCGATTTTTAAGCTAAAATTTAAGCCATTGAAAGAAAATGTTAATTTTTTTCAAAAAATTTCCAAAAAAATTCAAAAATAAGAATTTTTCTCTAAAATTTATTGTATTTTAATAAAAATGTTGAAATTTCGTTTTTTTTTATCAAAATAACGATTCTTAAAAATGTCAACTGCTTTTTATAGTGACTGTTTTAATAAAAAAATAATAATATAGAGAGTTATAGCATTTAAAATTAATAAAAATCAAAAATAGTGATAATTTTTTGAGCTTGTACAATTTATCAAGGGTCTTTAAGATCTTGAAATACGAATGTCTTTTTTGCTATGTCTCCTGCAATGTAAAAGTACTTAAGCTTAAGCATCCACTCTAGAGTAAAAGTTGTATCTAGTTTTAATCCTCTAGCCAATACTATTATGACTATATGTTGTTGTATATCGTACTGAATCATCCTGTATACTCATCATGATATATTATCGTATAGGTGCATACTACAGCCTACTTGAATGTAATTCTATATCAAAGTAAAACTTTGAACTCCTAAAAAAATACTTTTGCCTCGGTATCGGCAGTAAAATTTTCTCATTTCTCAAATGTTGGATGAAAAAGTTCTTTAAAAAATTAATTAATTTAAAAAATTGTTCAATTTTTTTAATTTTTTTTTATTTTTAGCTGTTACAGTATTTGGCATTATATTAGCCTTTTATTTTATTTATGCTTTATTTGCTCCTAACTTTTATGATATTTTTGTTAAATTTTAATATACTAAAATATAAAACTAATTAATTATAATAATATACATATATTAAATTTAAAATCTAATATATTTTATAGTCTATTTAATTCATATACGTATCTATTTAATTTTTTTCGTTTATCATTGTTTACATTTACTCCTTTGAATTGAATTTTTAATAACGATTTACTGGTAAAAAATTAGTTGCAAATGCTTTTTCATTTTTAAAACTTGGATTCATAAATATTGAATCTGGTTTAGTAAATGTTATAATTGATTGGTCCCCACATTGATTTTCTGATGAGTATATACCTTTCATGACCCAATTTCCACTACCGTTCGAACATGCTAAAGCGCTACCATAATCTAAGTCACATGCATTGAGAACCGGCCTTCCACATAATTGATCAGCACTAGCATTACAGTTTTGACGATCAAGTACGGTTACTTTTGAGTGATGCATAATAGCGTCTTGTAAATGAACTATATGAATGTTTTCAAAATAACAATTAAGTACGTGAAAAAAAAGTTTACATAAATTTTAAAAAATTATTACCTTTTAAAACCTCTTTTCCCCAACCAGTTACATAACATTCCTCATTTTCATCTGGATCGCTGTCATCAATGCATAGTGGAGCAATGTGAATATCAAACTTCAATTTAGAATCCAAATGTAATAATGCGATGTCGTTATTGAATTTTACTGAATCATAATTTGGATGTATTTCTATACGCTTAACCCGTGAATTTTGGAAAGTTATCGGCTCTATATCACTTCCAAGTTTCCATTCGCCGCCTTTAATAATAACGTCAAATGGCTTGCGTCTACAAGATTGTATATTGGTGATTAAAAGTTAAAAAATATTTTTCTTTGTAAAACAATGCAAAAAATATATCACCCTTGTACACAACGAGCGCTGGTTGCCACCATATCATCGGCGATGATAACGCCACCACAAATCAAAGATTTTTTAGATTCCAAAAGTATCATAGCTTGCCAGGGATATTCTCCAAAAGCTACGTAAAAACAGAACAATGAATTTATGTATTTAAATTTCAACATTAATATATGTACGTACTAAGGTAAGATTTATGTTTTTGAGACATTTTTTAAACTAAAAAAATTAATACAAAATAACAATTCAAGTAAAATCGTCTAAGAAATCAAAAATGGAAGAAGTATATTTGTAAATGGTTTATTGAAAAAATTTCTTAAAATCTGTTCCTTTGTTCCAAAAATAATAAAAATGAAGAAAATTATTTTGAAAGCTTTTCCAAATAATTTTCGAAAATTATTACGAATTCCCTGAAATGCTCGGCAGTTAGTTTCGGGAATAACCAGAACTCAAATATCAAATTTTAAGAAATTTTATTAAATCGTTCCGTAGATATGGTAAGAAATGTAAAATCGACCCGCCGACCAGTTTCCTAGCCCTGATCTTTTCAAAAAATTTATGTTCATTGTTTTAATACGACAAATTTAAATATTAAATTTTAATGAAATCGGTTTATTATTTCTATTTATAAAAGCAAAAATGTTTATTTGGCCCGTAGTAAACGTCCAGTTGCTGACGCCTGATTTCTTCCAAAAGTTATAAGGTTTCGCGGACGGTCGAGTTTATATATAAAATTTCAAGTAAATCAGTTGAATATTTTCTTCAAAATTTTCAAAAATGTAAAACAGGTTCGCTAAAAAGTGCAGTTTTCGAGGCCTGATATATCCCAAAAGTTGATCAATCTGTGTCATAGTCGAAATAAGCTTACATATAATTCATTTCATCAAAATCGGTTCAGCCAAACTTGAGATATAGGCGTGCACACACAGACCGACAGGTTGCTAAAAATAGTTTATTTACACTTCCCCACTATGGAGAAGTGCATTCCCACCGAAAACTCGTTATGCAAAATTTATTGCCATCAATGCGGTCGGTAATAGAAAAAACTTCACATCCAATCACATCACATTAAATTACATCATCGTCATGTAACGAACAACTGTTACCGACTGTTACTGAACAACTGTAACTGTTACTGTTAACTTTCAGCGTTCAATCGTTTTTACGTTGCAGTCATTCAGAAATTGTGGAAAAAGAAAATTGTCTTTAATAAGCAGGGTATTTAATAATATTTTTTTGAAAAATTGTATACATTTTCTGTTTCCTATTTGATATAATAATTTTAAAAACCAAAGAAACAAGGGCTCTTAAAAACTTTTTGTTCAACTAAATTATTAAATACTAATTTACCCTACATCTACGTATGTATATCCATAGGTATATTAACAATTTATTATAACTTAAAAACTAACATTGTATCCATATTTTTATACCCGTACGAACGTATGTTCGAAGGATTATTGCGATTTTCAAGGATTATTTGTTTCTAATATTCAATTGTTAACAATTAGTTTTTTTCAATTCTTTGTTGGAAATAGTAACATGTATGTTATATATGGCATACTACCAAGAAGCTTATTTGCAAAACTTTTCTTCGGTAAAACTTTTGTTGGGTTTCTAAAAAAATCCAGAAGTATCTAGAAGTTGGGGTCTAAGTACCTAGTATTAGTATTAGCAATTGAATATTAGAGACAAATAATCCTCGAAAATCTTAAATCGCCATAATGGCTTTAAAATATTGTTACACTATTCTTTTTGCTAATGTTCTTGTCAAAAGATGTCGATTATAGAATGCATTTTGTATTTATTAGGAGTGCGAAAAAGTTATTTGCAGTACAATATTAATGTTTTTAAAAAAATTAATGAATAAGATTTAGTAACAATAAAATAATTTTTTAACCTGAAAAAGTTTGCAGAAGTAGAATTCTTTTTTCAAAAAAAAATTTTGATATTTCAGGATTTTATAAACTAACCTGCGTCTATAGAAGTATCACCTTGTAAAACTGAATTCTGTAGTAAAATAAGAAAAAGAAAATAAAATTTCAAATATTAGTATTTGTTATATTTTGTTTTTAATATTTTATTATTTTTAAAACATCCTTCTTATATTTGGGTACATAATTTTATTAATAATTATTAATAACTTGCCAAAATTTAGTATATTTTAATCTAATCACTGTGATGCCCCTTGAATGTAAATTTTGTCTAATATAGTATAAAAAATAACCATAGAAATGTCAAGATAATGTATTCATATGTATGTATATGTACAATAAAGGAAAAAAGGATTAACTATGTATATTCAACCAATATTTTTTTTTGGATTTACAGTTAAAGCAATGCTATTCAATATTTTTAAATTATTATCAGAAAAAAATTACGACTTTTACGAGAAATTTAATGCCTATAAGCAGCAGGCTCATGAAAAAACTTCGAGAACTGATGAAAAAACTTTTTTTTAAATTTTTTATATAAGTTTAAAATTCGTTAAAGCAAGAAAAGTTAAAATTTAAAATGAATTGAAAATATATACATATTTCGCCGAAAAATTACTTATATGGTACTTAATAAAAAAAACATTTTGAACATATACGTACATAACGTATGTACGTATTGAAAAAGTACGAATTAAAAATTTAAATGAAAAAGTAATCAGTTTCAAATTTAAAACTTGTTCGATAGCTAAATTTATTGCAAAGTGATGAAAATCAACCATTTTGAAACAAATTTATGATTATTCTTAACCATTTCCAATAACAGTTGCAGAATACAAAGTGCATTATCGAACGAGCTTATAATTACAAGAATATTTACTGAATATGTTGTTCGTACTAATATATCCATATATATAGCTATTGCTTGACAAAAGTAGGGTAATTTTGCTTCTTTAGTTTCAAAATTAAGCAAAAACATGATTATAAAAATAGGTTTTAGTATTGGAAACTAAATATACTTTTAAATTCTAGTTTGAAATTTTCGATATAAAAAGTCTTATAACGATATAAAATCGTCTTATTCCTTCTTAGCAAAATTTGATTCAAAATATCAATATATATTTTTACATATGTACATATGTAGTATTTATTATAATGTTATCTAATTGAATTTAAAAAATAATACACAAAATTAAATAATGTTGAGTTACTATATAAACTCTAGGTCTTTTTTGAAATTTATCGAGATTGTTTGTAGCAGAATGTAAAATAACAACTTTCCATAACTAGATTTAATGTAGTTATCCATATCATCAATTACGTGATTTCAATTATTTTAATGTACAATAGACTAATTTAGAAAACACTAACTGCAAGTGCATATAAATTTTTATATTTTTGGTAAAAGTTAAAATTTCGTAATTTGCACAAAAAACCACACATATTTTTGTTTATCAAAACTTTATCTCGACATTTCTAATTTGTAAATTATTTCAAATTTAATTTTATAATCCTTAAATTGATTTTGATACTGTAATTGCAAAATGTCTTACCTACCTATAAAAGAATTATTAAATAATAAACTTTTTTTCCTTAAAATTTGACATTTTATAATTACAGTATTTTCTAATTAGTAACAATAAATATACCCTCCGATTCGGATACCACCAATTTTTGTTACCAATTACTGTGCCACATTTTCTTAATTTCTATTAATTTTTGAAATTTAATTACAAGTTAAAGAAATTCCTTATTGCCCTAAATTTAAAAGTTGCCATAATTTTGTTTTATTGAAATTTAATTGTTTCATAAAATATATATTGATGGAAAATTTAAGTTTAAAGCAATAAAAGTATTTCATAAAACAGTTTTCCAGATCCTGAAATACATATAAGAAGCATTAAACAATAATAAAAATTTTTCACAAAAATAATAACATATAAATTTTTTAGAACACATACACATAACATGTACGAACTACTTAAATACCAAACCAAACATATTATTATAATTTTAAAATTTAGTAAGTACCAATACACAATATTAAAAAATTATTTACTTTTTCTGTTTAATAAAAGTATACGAAAATATATTATATATATATATATGTCTAATGTATATATATATATATATATATATATATATATATATATATATATATATATATACATAACTATATTAATTTAATTGTTTAAGATACACACATCCTGTGAGAGATATATGGAGATTCTCGATTGTTTTTTCCTTCAACTTAAAACTTCTGTAGTAGCAGATGTTTTTAGTACTTATTATAATACGTTTTCTTTTTTAAAGAATTACAACTAAAAACTGCGTGTAAAGTAGTGAAAAATTTTTTTCAATTTAGTTTAACTTGAAATTTTAATGTTGAATAATTTTTATATTGAATAAGTAATTTTATAGGGTGGAATAGTCGTCAAATTTAGTGAATAATCATAAAACTACTTCTACGTGCCAGGTTATAAATAAAATGTTAACATTAAATCTGATGTTTTATTTTTGTTTGTCTCTAAAGGTAGTTATGTCTCATTTGCAAATATATTTTTTAGCTGCACAGTTCAAGTACTTTTAGTCATTATACGACACATTTCATTTTGATTTCACTAATATGAAACACATACCCTAAATATTTCAATAATTTTCTTTTGGAGTTATTAAATGTTTGGAAAATTTATGACTAAAAATAATTTTGGGGGAAAAATAGAATCAACCTAGTGTGTAAATGTAGTGCAGAACATAGAATGAATGAAAAAAAAATCATGATCTTTCATTTTTTTTATAAAAAATATTTTTTTATTTAAACTTATTTTGAAATAAGTAAAATCATATTTAATATTTTATAAATATATATACATAAATATATATTTAATATTAACATACATAAATTTTTTTTTAAAATTCAATGTTTAACAACTTACAAAATTTCTGCTAGCACATCTCGCAACGCGACTGTTTGGTGCTTGTCGCCTTGAATGATTAGACGCAGATTGCGCCTCAGTTGCCAGATTGTTATTTGCGCGACGTTGTGTTCTTGTACTTGGTTTATAGGCTCCAGTATCACCAAATAATTCAGCTTTATATTGTCCTAATTGGCTAGCTGGCCAAGGATCTTTATAATTTGGATCGCGACAGCACACACCATTGAATCCTTCTTCTGGATTATAACATGACGTCATTGGTACGCGATAAATTTCCTGATCTTCGCTTAAAACTACTGGGGTATCTGATATGACACCTGTAGCTGAACAGTATTCCGATCTGGTACTGCAGTTTTAAAATCAATTAACAAATAGAAATTAAAAGAAAATTTTTTATTCGCAAAAAAATCTGAAAATGTAAATATAATTTTTTTCCATATTGTAAAAAACAATTATTAAAATGCTTTGATTGTTTGAAGCTTTAAACTACATTCACATCCTCTAACAATAGTATTAAAACTATAATAGTCAATATACCATATCCTGAACTACAAAGCTTTAAGTCACACTGTGAAAAACAGTTCTGTAATTATTTGGGGTTCACATTTTAACTGCTATATATAACAGTTTTTGATTCTGAAAAAGTTAGGACTGCTTTTGTATTTATGTTTTTTCTTATAAAAAGAGTGTTCCAATATTTTAAAATCCTAAGTACTCCCGACAATTAATAATTTAAAACGAAAAGAATACAGAAGGAAAAGGATTATAAATAAAGTTGGATCAAATCAATGGTTTGTAATGTACCACTTTACCTTTCAAAAAGTTCACCTTACAGCTTTTGAACACAATCTACACAATGTACAATATTATAAAAATCACTTTTATTCATTTACGAATATATTTTACAGATAACATACATTTGGGATGAGTAATGCATGCATTTTTTGAAATAAAACAAAAAAATAAATTGAAAGAAATGTTAACATAATGCCTGAATAATGTGTTAATTGCATTAGTCAAAAAAAAATAATATATTCTTTAATGATATGGCATTTACCCTTAGTTTTCTGCATTTTTACAACTTCGGAAAACCTTGGAGTTTCGGAAATATAAGATCTACAAAATTCAAATTTTAAAAATTTCGAGATTTGACAAATTATTTTAATGTAATTAACTAATGTAATTTATCTATACAGTTATACTAAAATAAACATTAAATTAGACATAAGGATATGTGTTTTGATTAGAAGACGATTGCAATAATAATATTGCTTTTATACAAGTTGAATGTTATGGTGTTGAAAAAAGAGTCGAAAATGTAACATTTGATTTATAACTTTTTATGCTGAAGGAACAAAATATCAGCTTTAAGAGCTTTCAGTGAATTCTGCAAATTCTCAAAGCTGATATTTTATTTCTTCAACACAAATTTCCTTTATCTTATAAACAGTAACTTGCCCAAAACTTGCATTTTCATTTCATTAGAGAGCTATAACTTGAAGAGAACGTCAAAATTTTGTTTTTAGAGAAAGTATATTTTTGTCCACAAAATTGTTATTTTCTATGTTGAAGAATGTAAAAGTGTTGTAAACCGATAACTAAACGAAAATACAGAGCGATATTTCTTTGTATTTTTTTTCAAAAGTACATATTCTGGAATTGTATTTCTGCACTTAAAAAGAATTTTATAAAATTAATTGATAATGATGAAAACTTCCTTCGTGTGTATTTCGAGCGACGATGCATATAGGAACATAACCACATATACGTATTAATAACTAACACAAAAAAGTCTAGTTTTTTTCATGTTAAAGGAAATTGTTTTTTTTTTTTTGAAAATATTTTGGAAAGGTATCTTTACTATATCTAGGGTTTTCTATCAAAACATGATATCTACATTTTTGACAAAAAAAAAATTATGACTGCAGCATTACTTAAAATTTTAAGCGATTTCTAATGCAAGAAAAAAAAATTAATTTTTTCAGTAGTTTTGAAAAAAAATCCTTGAAGAATATTTTCACATAAGTGAAACGCTCGTTTGAAAACATTTAAAGCTAGATAAGTGAACTTATTCAGTTCTGATTGATACTAATGGCAATTAGAAAAAGTGTGTAGTGTTTGATATAAAAAATTTGTTGAAATTTTAATATTATGTAATATTTAGTAGCAACATTTTAAAATGCTTACTTATTAAACTATCTTCATTAAATTTTCACTAGCTAATTGACTTAATTAACTAAATTGACTTATTAATTCACTTTAGTAAAACAAAAATAACAAAAAAAATTTTCAATGATGTTTTACACGAAATGGCAAAAATGCAGATTCCATGTTCTGATAGAAAACCCTAGATATATGGTTTGAGCTACGTTATTCATTTTTACATACATACACCTCTGATTGTGAGCTAATTAGAAGAGCCTAAGTATTATGCCTAAGTATTATGCCCAGACATATGTATTATGTCTAAGTAAAAGTTGAAAAATTAGATTCAGTTAAATATATTATTTTTAACTCTAATGTCAGATATTTTATTAAGGGGTTTATAATTTGTAAAAGCAAAGTGTTTTTTTTTCTTCAGTTTCAGAAATAAATTATTGAAATCAAAAGCAAACAGAAATATTATGTAGCTCTGTTCGCTTTTCATTTTTGTTGCAGACGTGGATGCAACAAAAATTGAATTTCTTACAATATGAATTTTAAATGTTGGTGCAGAAAGAATTATTTTTTTTACCAATTTAAGGCAGCAGCACATTTAGTAGGTAACTGACTTTCTGGAATATCATTACTTAAAACTGGTCGCACTGGTTGACCTGGTTTTTTTGATGGCAAAATTGGCAATGACAATATTCCTTCACCAGTTGTAGGTCCTGCTGGACTTCTAGGGGGAATATAACCACTCGTTGGCTGACGTGGTGTTTGAACTGGTTGACGTAAGGCTTGTCCAGGTGGTGGAGATGGTAGTTGTGGTTGTTGGTATGTTAGTTGTGATGGCTGGTATGTTACTTGAAGTGATGGTTGACTTCCTGGTTGTCGCAATGGTGGTTGGCCTTGTTCACGTGATGGGAGTTGTCCTGATTGGATTGGTGGTAAATAACCTCTATCTGTTTGTATTTGAGGTCTGGGAATTGTTTGTCTTGGTTGAGCAGGTTGAGAATGAGGTCCCGGTCTTGATGGTGTTGGTTCTAAAGCAGAGACCGGTTGTCTTGGTTGTGATGGTGATCCAGGAACTGGTCTGGACGGGGTTGGTAGAGTTCCAGTAATTGGCTGCCTAGGTTTTGTTGGTTGTGAAGCTGGCCTTGAGGGTATGGATGGCGGTTGTTCGATTGGTTGCCTTGGTTGTCCTTGTGTTCTAGAAGGAGTTGGTTGAGGTCTGGGTAATGGCTGAGGTTGCGGGAATGGTTTTTCTGGTGTACGCACAACATAACCATCTTCAGTTAAAATTGTCGAGTCTGGAATTTTACAGCATACTTCTGGCGCATAACATTTATCAGTCTGAAAGCAAAAATATTAATAGATAGCTTAATTAATGTATGATTCAGTAATTATAATTTATGTTTATTCACATTTTGCTTTTTTAAGAGATGAAATTACATGAAATTTTTTTTTAAAATTAGTAATTTATCTTAAATGGTACTGAATATTAATGGCACTGAATGCAATTACGTGAAGCCATAGGTATTACTTTAATTTTCCCACTCCAATAACCACACTTCATACAAAGATATACAGGTTAGTATCTCAATCGTTCATTTTCACAGAAACCTACGTCAATTTACTGTATTAAAACTGTTGTATTTTCCTAGTAATAATAATGACAATTGGTGCTATTAGATATCATGTATTCGGGTAACAAGGTAAATGAACATATAGCATAATTGAGCTGGTTTTTTGATACCACTTAAGTCCATTTTTTCATATATTGAACCAGTTCAATTATGAGCCATAGACAGTGAGGCTGATTTTTGCAACGGTAGATAAAATGGCTGACCACATTCCCTGTCTCAGCGAAATATTAGAAAGGAGTGAATGATTCACCTGAGGGATACGCGTTTATATTTGACACAGGCGTTTGTTGGAAATTTTATAATTTGTGGTTATTATCAATGTTTAGATTTTCATACTGGACAAAATAGTAACATACATGACTAGTTACTTCTACAGAATATATACTTTCAGAATAGAAAAATTTTTAACAAGTAAGACAGAATATAGTAAATGTGGAAGAGCTCCACACATATTTTGTACGAATTCTTTTTATGAGTAAAAGAAAATCTATTTGTATGATCACATACTGTATTTCGTAGTTTGTGTTTCTGTAATATAAAATTAGTTTTATAATTTTTTTTCAATTTTATATTTATATTATAAAAAATTAGGTATATATACGTACATATAAATATCGGTTTCTTTCTCGTTCGCGCTAGATTTTGTATTGAAATAAATTTGCTTTGAAAAATATTGATACCTAACTTCAGCATTTACAGTCAGTGTAAAGGTTTAAAAGTACAATATTAAAAATAATATAAAAAAATCTGATGTGATCCAGCACATAACTGACCGCAATGTGTATTGTCTAGTGAAGTGAAAGTGTTACAGAATATTATAAAAATGTCTGTTAAATACTTCTTTCCAATTATATACCTAGATAAATAAAATACCTAGAGAAATGTAAATCTGGCTCTTAGTAGAGTTTTACTTTGTGCTATCAGAGAAATTCCATTGATTGTCTTGTAGATATGTAAAAAAATGTGAAATTGGCCCCCAGATCAGTTTCACAGCCTTGATCTTTCCAAAAAAATTATATGTTCATTGTTTTAATACGAAGAATTAAAATATTAAATTTCAATGAAATGGGTTGGTTATTTCTTTTTATATACGCAAAAATGTATATTTGGCCCGTAGTAAACATCCGGTTACTGACGCCTCATTTCTTCCAAAAGTTAGGAGGTTTCGCGGACGGTTGAGCGAAGCTTATATATGAAATTTCAAGTAAGCCTGTTGAATATTTTTTTCATAATGATCGAAACTGTAAAACAGGCCCACTAAAAAGTGCGGCTTTCGAGGCCTGATATATCCCAAAAGTTGATCAACCCGTGCCATTGTCGAAATAAACTTACATATAAAATTTCTAATAATTTAAAAAAAAAATTCAACATGATATAAACAAGTAACTTTCAATGAATTCAAAATAATATATTGTTTTTGAAAAATACTATTACTGTTATTAGATGTATGCACCATATCTTAATATTTATGAATTTGCTTACATATATCGTACTTACATAAATCATAATTACATGCTTACATAAATCATTATATATGTAGCTATAATCTGCGTTGTTTGTATAAATGCTAAAAGATATATATTTTAATTATATGGGGGGGATACAGATATTCGAGTTTTTTCTAGCTAAAGCCTGTTGAAAAAAAGGTACCAGATTTTTAGGAAACTTAGGAACCATGCATCATAAAGTAACCATTGGTGGCTTGTTTCACAGGAAATTTGCATTTTTCGCATGTTTTTAAACACATTTAATACGTTTTACTAGCAAAACTATGAAAGATAGAGAAAAATATTGTATGGATTACGTTTTAGACCCCAAAACAAAAAAAAATAAAAAAATAATAAAAATTTTCAAGAAATTTCCAATTAAAAAAAAAAGAAAAATTTTAACTTTGACGTACTTTATCTCGAAAACTAAAAATAAAATTTTGAAGTTGTATGGCAGCTACCCGAACCAGTACCCCGAACATGTCCAATTTAGATAGGGTTCTGGCACTTCCTACAATAAATCATTTGTGAAAATTTGGTGAACTTAGCTCAATTAGTTTTTGAGTTATCGTTGAGACGAACGGACGGACGGACACACAAAGCTAAATCAACTCAGAATTCGACGCCGATCAAAAACATACACTTGAGTCTATATCTAAGACCGTTATTTCTTAGCGTTACAAACGGTAAGGCAAATTTAGTATACCCTTCGAACATACGTTCGTACGGGAATAAACAGCCTAAGCTCGTACAGAGTGGTGTTTTTGTTTTTTTTTTTTGCATTAAAAATTTACATATATTCAAAAGGCTTTAGCAATAAAAGCAACAAAAGAGTATTATATTGAAGGTACAATTGACTCTTACGTTTATAAAATAAAATATATTAATTTAATCAGAAACTTTAAATAAACCTAATTATCAGAAAATGTTCTTGAAGTTGATACTTGTACGATCTTGGTTCAAACTAATAATTTATTTATATTCCTTTTTAATGTATTTGTGTCAGCATATCTGAGCCATTTAGTAAAATTGTTAAACTCCCGAACAGCATTGTTGAAAACATTACTTGACCCAGTTTTGCCAGTTCGTATGCCGTTTGTTGTTCTTGTGTTGTGATGATGCATTATTACTCCTTGTCTATTATCTATATGTTGAATCTGGTTTGTTTTTAGTATTTGTTGTTTGTTGCTTATTTAAAATGTTATAATTTGCGTATATACTATTCGTTGGTATTCTTATTTGAATCTATATAGGTTTTTTATAGGTTTATTTCGCAAGTTTTAGATTTTTTTCAAATTTTTGCTACTCGTGTTTCCCCAGATTAATATGGCATAAGCTATATGACTATGAAATAAATTATAGTATAGCGCCCTTTTTTGTTTTTCGGGAATTAGGCCAGATATTTTGCGAAAAATACCTGCTACTCTCCTTTAGGTTTTCATTAATTCATCAGTGTGATGATTTCAGGTGAGTTCGCTATCTAATGTTATACTGAAGTATTTATATGTCGTTACTCTTTCAATTTTATTATCATTGAATATTAAATTGATATTTTCTTTATATTTATTTTTTAGTAGCATATATATTTGTCTATACTACTTGTCAATTTGTACTTGCAGAACATATTGTATATTATTTTATTATCGCAATTTATTTCATATTCTATATCTGTTATTTTCACATATTTTTTTCCTGGTTTTATTCAGTACAAGAATGAGTAATTAGTTATGATTTTTACGGTGTAGCAGACTTACTCAGTTAGTAAGTATAACCTATATAAGCTTTATTTTTTTCTTCTTCACTCCTAGGAGGAGCATAGGGCTAGCGCATGATATTATAGATAGTTGCCTTAGTTTCATTGAGTCATACAGTTTTGAATACGATATATGATATATATCAATATGAGAATCGATAATACATTTTTGTTTTTTTCTCCTTTCCTTTTTGGTCACCTTTGTTGTTTCTTTATATACAATCAGTACTGCAAAAAGTGAAAATAAAGATTTTTTGTGCAAAACTTCAAAATAAGATTTTTAAAATATTTAAGTTTCCAAAATCTTTCCAAATTAGAATTTTTCGCACCTTTTTCCATATTTTCCAAAGTTCACGAAAAAGCATTTTGACCAAAAAGCCAATTTCCATAACAGAAGATTTTTAATATTCTCCCATTTGCTTTATTTAATTGAATATTAATCGACTTTACGCAATGCGCATGTCATAAACTTTTCTTTTTGATGTCTAATTTAGTTCAAATTAAAATCATGAATTGTCTTGATTCAGTGGAAGATATCAAAAGGTTCTTGATGATTTTTTTCATCGAGCCTTCAAAATTAATATTTTATTTAAAAAATAATAAGATATTTTGGTTTATCTATTTCGCAACACTATCTACAACATTTCTTTGTGTCGTAAATTTGGCTATATTGTGTATTATATACAGTGTTGCTATTTGTAAAAATTACTTGTAAATGACTTTGAAGGATTTTTCCAACTCAAAAAAAACAATAGATATACTTTGCTATTATAAGTAGTTCGACTCGTTCCATTCCGTTAGTTTTCGTTTGTATTTCGCTTTCAAATTCTTAAAATATTCCATTTTTATTTAGAAATAGATGTTAATAAGAGTTGTGTAGGCAAGAAAGAAACAAAATATTGTAAACAAACGAGTGTATCGAAAACATTGAACTGAAATAAAATTATATTAAGTTAGGTAAAAGTTTTGTTATTTTTGATAACAAAGTTTTTTTCATATTTTATTTTTCATTTTACAAAAATTAGGTAAAAATATTGGAATGTATGAAAGTAATAGTTATAAATTTAAAATTTTCTTTGTTATACGGTTCATACCTACTCAAGGTAGATACACAATATGATGTAGTAATATGAATGTACCCCGTTTATATGGCTGCTTCAAGCTTATTATTGTCTATATACATGTTACTTCGCTCAACACCGGCTTCACTCAAGTCGCTTACTTGACTTGAAATGTTAATAATCATTTTAAATTTAATAGCTGAACGTCGTTTTTGGGTTTTTAAGCTAACATGGTGAAAACGCAGCTTGAGTTTCGAGCTGATCTCACGTCAAGCCGCAATGTAGACGAGGCATAGAAATAAAGCAACTTATAAAATAAAAATGCCTATTACCGACACACCTGTATGTATATTCATAAAAAATATTTGTTTTACATTTTTAAAGACAAAATTAAAATAAAAATAAAAAATGCATAGTTTATATTACAATAAATGTAATGACAATTACTATTTACAAATTTTAAATTTTTTTTAATATTTGTCTTTTTCAAATTATATACATATGATACGTAAATTATAATATTTTTTATTTTAATAGTCAAATTTTTTTATTTTATATTTTAATAGTCAAACATCTATTGTGTACTCTTTCCCTCTTCCGAAAAAATGAAAATAAGAAAGTATACTGCTTAACTGTTTTAGCTAACGGATTTTGGTCCCTTTCCTCTGTATACGTTATCGTTTTTCTTTAGCATTTGTGTAATGTTCATTAGTAGTACGTTTAGTATGAAGCTCCGCAAGACTGATAATAGGTGTCAGACTTACCATTTTCAAATAATAGCTGCTCACATACAAAATTTTGAATTTAAATTAGGTTATTATTTGAAAAAGTCCGCGGAAAGTGAAAATTTATGTAATTGGCAAAAAAGGTTTGCGTATACAACGGTGCTTATTCTTTATTGATGTTATTCCACCAGATTTTCCTATCTCCGACCGCTCCTACGATTTTTCCTCCAATACTCCAACGAATGACCTCCACAGAGCTTTAAGAGACTTGGACAGAACGACCCTTTGACTTTAAATATGAGGTAAAATATTATTTTCCTCATATTATTTCTAATTTATTAGTATGAAACTACAATTATATGAATTTGAATATTTAATTCATTCATATTTCATCATCATCATCATCTTAACTTTACAGTCCGGGGTGAACCATAGCTTCTGCTACCACCGCCCGCCATTGATCTTTCTGGTTTGCAAGATTGTTCCAATTAACGACGGTCATTGATCTTAAATCTGCTTCTACGTCTTCGATCCATCTTTTTCTTGGCCGGCCACGTCTCCTATATCCTTCAGGCACTCTTTTAAAAACTTTTTTAACTGCTCTTGCATCATCCATTCTTAATAGATGTCCCAGCCATCTAATTCTTTCTGCTTTTATGAACCTAATTACATTTCGCTTTTCTATTAAATTTTCGATTTCGTGATTATACCTAATTCGGTAAGAACCGTCGTCAGATCTTATTGGTCCATATATACCTCTAAGTATTTTTCTTTCGAACGATGCAAGTGCACTGATGTCGGTAGATTTTAATGTCCAAATTTCACATCCATATGTTAGAACCGGCCTTATCAGTGTTTTGTACATTTGTAATTTTTGGTTTCTTGATAAAAGCTTTGAGTGCAGTAGTTTTCTGTGGGCATAATATGTTTTGTTTGCAGATTGAATTCGTTGTAATATGGCAATTGATGTATCCTTATCAGAACTTAATAACATGCCAAGATAATTAAATTCCTTAACCGCTTCAAATTCACGACCACTGATTACTAAATTCTGTGGTGATCGGGATTTATTGTTGGTTCGAAGCATATACTTTGTTTTGTCTGTATTTATATTTAACCCCATTGTTATAGCTGTCGTTTCAAGTTTTTCAAAAGTCTCTTTCAAGTCGTTCAGATTTCTTATTTCATCGGCATAAGCACATATTTGCACGCTTTTATTGAATATTGTACCGCCGGGATCTACATCTTTAACAACGCTATCTAACACAAGATTAAAAATTAAAGACGATAGTGCATCGCCCTGTTTTACGCCTGAACTTATTTCAAACGAGTTTGATAATTCTCCCTGAATAAGTACCTTGGCAACTGTATTTGTAAGTGTCATCATTGTTAATTTAATTAATTTCTTGGATATGCCATTAATTTGAAGAATTTGCTCTATTCTTGACCTATTTATGCTGTCAAACGCTTGCTTAAAATCTACGAACAAACAATGTATGTCAATAGAATATTCAAAAAATTTTTCAAAGATTTGACACAGTATAAAGCATTGGTCTGTCGTAGATCGATTTTGTCTGAAACCGCACTGATAGTCACCCAATATTTCTTCAGCAAATAAATTAATTTTATCGTATAATACATTTGTGAATACTTTATATCCAGTATTTAATAGTGATATACCACGATAATTGTTGCATATTGTCTTGTCTCCTTTCTTATGAATTGGAATTATGATGCTCGTAAGCCATTCTTGTGGTATGGTCTCTTCTTGCCATACCTGACATACTATGCTATGTAATTCACTAAATACTTTTGTACCGCCGTATTTTAATAATTCTGCAGTGATAGAGTCTTCACCTCCACTTTTGTTGTTTTTTAGCTTATTTAAAGCTTTTTTAATGTCATTAAGTGTGGGTAGCTCCATCACATTTTCGACCGTTCGGTATAATATTGTATCATGGTTGTTATTATCATTATCAAACTCGTTTTCATTTTCGCTGTTCAGGAGTTCGCCGAAATGCTGCATCCATCTTGTTATGATTTTTTGTTTGTCTTTTATGATATTTCCATTTTTATCTTTGCATATGTTTATTCGGGGCTGAAATTTCTTTGTTTGTTTTTTAATATTTGAGTACATATTTTTTACTTTGTTTTGTTTAAAATCGTTTTCTATTTCTTCAATTTTTTCTTTAATGTACTGCTTTTTCTTTTTCCTTATCGCTTTCTTAGCGATTTTTCTTTTTTGTTGGTAGTCTTGTAAGTTTTGTCTCGTTGGTGCACCTAAACTTTTCCTTTTAGCTTGCGTTTTCGATTCGTTCAATTGCTTGCATTCTTGATCGTACCATTCATTTGTGTTATTGATTTTTTTGCCGATTGTTTCATTTGCTGCATGGCTCAGTATACTTTTCATGTTGTTCCATTTATCAGATACATTAGTCTCGTTTTCACGTTGATTTCCATTAATCTTTTCTTCTACTTTTTGCTGAAATCTTACGCGTTCTGAAGTACTTTCAATAATTTTGCTTGTGTTCCATATAGTTCTTTTGAAGTTGTTTCTACTATTCACATTTGAAATACGTTGATGTACTTTAGCAACAACTAAGTAGTGATCCGAGTCGCAATTCGCACCTCTGTATGATCTAACGTCAGCTATAGAAGTTGCGTGTCTTTTGTCGATCATAACATGGTCAATTTGATTAGCACCTCTCATTCCAGGTATTTTCCAGGTTTCCTTATGTATATTTTTGTGTGGAAAGGAAACACTGCTAATCCACATTCCTTGACTTGCAGCAAAGTTACATGCGCGAATACCGTTGTTATTACTGATATTGTGTAGAGAATGTTGTCCAGCAACTTCTCTTACAAAATATTCCTTGCCTATTTTCGCATTGTAATCGCCAATAATAATTAGCATATCATGTCTGCTTATTTTGTTGCAGTAGGCCGTTAATTTATCGTAGAAATGATCTTTGTTATTTTCTTCGGCATCTTCAGTTGGTGCATATACCGACAGTATTGATAAATTTTGGAATTTACCCTTCAGTCTGATATAGCACATTCTCTCATTTATTGGTTCGAATTCTATTATACTCTGCCTTAGTTTTTTATCGACATAAAACCCAGTTCCCTTATGTCCGGGTTTATTTGCACCGCTGTAAAATATCGAATAATTTCTCTTTCTTATTTCTCCTTCACTACCAAATCTTATTTCTTGTAATGCAGCAATATTAATTTTATACCTTAGAAATTCATCTGCAATTTCGGCCATTTTTCCAGGCTGTAACATTGTTTGGACGTTCCAAGTCGCTATCCGTAAATCGTTAACCTTAAGGGCTTGCATGGGTCTGTAACGTTGAGTTCCTGATCTAATGTTCCGACATATTTAGAATGTTTAATTCATTTTTAGGTTTTTTTAGATTTATATAAACGCGGAAGGCTAATGGTAAACCCTATGCCATTAAATAATAAAAAAAAATCTGATGTGGTCAGCACATAACCGACCGCATTGAATATTGTCTAGTTAAGTGAAAGGGTTACAGAATATTATAAAAATGTCTGTTAAATACTTCTTTCCAATTTTCAGGACATTAGTTAACATACCTAGAAAAATGTAAATTTGGCTCTTAGTAGAGTTTGGCTTTGTGCTTCCCGAATTCCCAGAAATGCTCGCCAGTTAACCAGAATTCAAATATTAAATTTCAAGAAATTCCATCAATTCGTTTCGTAGATATGGTGAAAAATGTAAAATCGGCCCGCAAATCAGTTTTCGAGCCCTGATCTTTCCAAAAAATTTATATGTTCATTGTTTTAATACGAGGAATTCAAATATTAAATTTCAATGAAATCGGTTGATTATTTCTCTTTATATACACAAAAATGTATATTTGGCCCGTAGTAAACCTCCAGTTGCCGATGCCTGATTTCTTCCAAAACATAGCAATTTCCGCGGACGGTCGAGCAAAGCTCATATATGAAATTTCAAGTAAATCGGTTGAAT